CCGCACACGAATTTACATTAGAATCACTATAAGAAGGAGTCTAGCCAATTGGGGTAGAATTTTCATTGGCTCCAGGCAGTTTTGAAGCAAAATGGCGGAACCAATCACATTCCCGTTTTGAGTAGCATAAGAGCGCGATTATTCAACCTGAGAACGGGCATCCTCTTTGTATAATGAAGTATTGCAGGTTTACATAATGAATAAGACGGGTCACTGGTAGATTTTAAAGGTAGAAAATGAGTACAAATTGATGATAGGTTTTTAACCCTTGTGTGCGCACCCGGTTACCCGGGTGCCCACCACTGCTCATTTTTGCATGTAAGTGGATTAAAAATGAAAATTTCGCTTTGTACGCCCGAATCGTCGTTATTTAACTCATTTTTAAGCAAATGGTGCATTTGGAGATTTTTAAAAATTTTTTTAAGCATAAATAATCTAGTTTAAAGTATACATATGCCGCGGACGCACCCGGTTACCTGGGTACCCACCATAGAAAAATTCAATTTTGAGTGAACTATTAGCTTTTTTTATTAATTTATTTGATTTATGCATGTGAAATGAGTTGCGTAATAAGAAAATACATGAAAATTTATTTAAAAAACAAAAAAAACATTTATTTATTGCATTCTATGCACTTGGCAAAAGTTATCGCATGTTCATCGCAAATAGGCCTATCACATTCGGAGCAGGCCTTTCGTGTTTTCCTTCTCTTCTTAATTGTTTGTTTGTAACAAATATGGCAGGAACCGATAACTTTCTTCCTTCCTGATGCATCTCGTTGAACTGACGGATCTGGATCAGCCTCCACTGGATTTACTGGCCGACCGATTACACTTTCAATAGCGATCTTGGTGCTATAATTTCTCATTATTTGCACGTTATGATATCGATCCTCAATCATTGGCGTTGCAAGTTCTTCGCTCAATTGGCGTAGAAATAACCGTCGCTGGTTGGTTTTTTTCGGCAGCATCTTATTATTTTCATAATAAATGAGGTAGGCAGCGAGTGAGGCAACGTCTAATATGTTGAAAAACATAACTACCGGCCATCTCAAAGTGCGACGTTGTGTAGTGTATCTACTAATCATTTGGTCCATCGTGTCGACGCCAGCTTTATATTTATTGTAATATGTGATAATATGGGGCTTCTTCTTAGCATCATCGTTCACAGCCATGTCGGAATGCATCGTTGATATTAGAATAACTGCTTTATTCTTCTTCGGTACGTAGGAGCACAGCGTTACTTTTTCGTGGAATCCAAACATAGTAGAGTATAGTTCTCTCGATTTATTCGGAGCCATCACACTTGGAATGTAAGGTTTATTTTTCTTCAAAGTGCCAACTAAAGTTAACTTCCATGAAAGTAAATGTTTGGCAACTGGTAAGGTTGTAAAAAAATTATCCATGGTAATATTTCTACCACTGCCTCGGTACGCGGCTGCAAGTTCTTTTACTATTCTTTCTCCTTGATGTTTCTCTCGAACATTATCTGTTTTGCCTGTGTAAATGATGCCGTGCAAGGGATAGGCATTTTCAGCGTCGCAAATCCACCAAATCTTGATTCCATATTTGGCTGGTTTCGAAGGTATATACTGCGTAAACTTTGTGCGACCGCGAAAAGGATAAAGTTGTTCATCGATCGTTAAATTCTCCGTCGGCTTGTACATCTTAGATAAATTTGCGTTGAGCATTGTCCAGAGATCACGGATCGGAGCTGCTTTGTCTTCTTTTGCGCGTTGCTGGCGTGTATTGGCGTCGTCAAATCTAATAAAACGCATGATGTTTCGAAACCTATTGAGCCCCATTGTCGCTCGATAGAGTGGATATGAATTTGAATGCCACATAACACTTGTATGATCGATGTTAGAATTATTAACACCAGAGCAAATCAAAATGGCCATGAATGAGTACATTTCTTGTACAGTAACATGCTTCCATTCTCGCTTCGAATCTGGATGCGCTGCATTGAATGCTGCGTAGACTGACAAAGCCTTTTTATTTGTATGTCGAACGATAATATCTACCATATCTACTGTGAATATTTTCTTGAAAGTGTCGCTTATTGAAAGTGTTGTGGTACTTCGATGAGGACCACTTTGCTGACGCACTACATTATGAGATGCAGTTTGATGTTGATGAAGCGGCGTTTTATTCCATACCGTTTTATCTTTCGCTATGTAAGCGCATAGTGTTTCCCCTACTGCTGCTTGATCCTCTCTCTCACTTTCACTTTCTCCTTCCTCTCCCTCTTCTTCGTCATCTAAGCATATTAGACCAAACTAAATATTAGTTATGATTTTTTATTTCGCGCGGCAACAATTTATAACAATTTTATATACCTTCTTCGGAAGGTGCATCAATTTCTTGAGCAACTGGTATTTCTTGATTATCTACACCAGATTCATCGCTATCAAGAGCCTCACGCTCAGGCAAAATTTCATTTGGTAACCAGTCGTCATCGCTGTCACACGCTTCGTCTGACTCGTCATCATCGTCTCCTAATATCGCGTTCAAATAAGCTTCTTTTTCCGTTTGATTCAATCTAAGATAAAATTCATGCATTATTCATTTTTTCAATAAAATAACAGAAAGAAATTAGAATTTTTAAATAAAGCACTGAAAAAAAACCATTGATGTACATTTTGTTTTACCTTGCAAATTCAGTCCTCGATAATTCCTCCATGTCTCTACAGTATATTGCGTAGGCTAGCCAAACGGTTCCGTTAACTGTAGCACGTCTGTGCGTGCGAAGAACACGATTCGCACTGACTCACATCTATTCAGACCCTTCTTTAGATGTAAGGAGGGGAACTTTTTGTTTGCTTTTAAAACTCCAAACAGCTGACTGCCTGGCAGCCTTAGTAACCGCGCGCTACCTGCGTCGACTTCAAAAATCCTGTTTTCTCTTACCTTTGTACGAGCTACAGCAGGCCAATTTATTTACAAATGCTTCGGCCTCTCATTTTTTATGTTTATTTACTGAGATAAACGTTAAGGAAACCATTTCAATTGCATAAATATTGAAAAAATTGAAAAAATGAGAGGTGGGCACCGGGGTACCCGGGTGCGTCCGAACGTTGGTAAAGTTGGGTGCGTACACAAGGGTTAATATTAATTAATATTTATTGTTGTACAATTTTATAATAATAATGTTACAATTATATTTCATGTTATATTTAATATTATATGTTATATTATATGTTATATTATATTATATGTTATATTATATTATGTTGTATTATATATTATGTTATATTCCCACAGGGCACATAGACGTCTATAAGATGACGAAAACTTAGCAAATTTTGGAAATGGATGTCTTTTCGGTAGAGTCTATAGTCAACCATAAGATGACTGAAAGACGGCTGATGTCTTAATAAATGTTGTCTTTTAGTCTTACCTGAAAAGATAACTAAAAAATGTCTAATATTAGATATCTTTTAGTCATCATTTAAAATTATATTATAGGTAGATTTCCGTTTTGTAAATTACAGAAAAATTAACATAGTTACAAAAAGCGGAAGGTTAATATAAATATGTATTGAAAAAATATTTCTATTGACATACCCTTATAGAAATATCATACTAAGAATCATTGATAATTACTTATTTTCAGTATTAAAAATACTGGATAATAAGTAATTATCAATGATTCTTAGTATGATATTTCTATAAGGGTATACTATGAACACTA